TATTTTTGTGGTTTGCAGGCCTCTCACTGTTGTGGCCTCTCCCGTTGCAGAGCACAGGCTCCGGACGCGCAGGCTCAACGGCCATGGCTCACGGACCCAGCCGCTCCACGGCATGTGGGATCTTCCCAGACCAGGGCACGAACCCGTGTCCCCTGCATCGGCAGGCGGACTCTCAACCACTGCGCCACCAGGGAAGCCCTGTCTGGTTTATTTCATTAAGCATAGTACCCTCCAGGTCCATCCATGTTGTTGCAAATGGCAAACTTTCATTCTTTTTATGGCTGAATAATATTCCATTGTAGATATACATCACATCTTCTTTATCCGTTCATCTGTTGATGGATACCTAGATTACTTCCATATCTTGGTTATTATAAATAATGCTGCTATGAACATTGGGGCACATATATCTTTTCAAATTAGTGTTTTTGTTTTCTTCAGATATATACCCAGGCGTGGAATTGCTGGATCATATAGTTGTTCTATTTTTAGTTTCTTTAGGAACCTCTACACTGTTTTCCACAGTAGCTGTACCAATTTACATTCCTACCAACGAACGGTGCACGAGGGTTACCTTTTCTCCACATCTGCACCAATAAAATTTATTGTTTGTTGTCTTATTCATGATAGCCATTCTGACAGTGTGAGGTGATATCTCATTGTGGTTGTTTGCACTTCCCTGATGATTAATGACATTGAGCATGTTCTCATGTGCCTGTTAGACATTTGTATGTCTTCTTTGGAAAAATGACTATTCGTGTCTTCTGTCCATTTTTAAAATCAGGATGTTTGATTTTTTGGATATTGAGTTACATGAGCTGTTTATATCTTTGGGATATCAACCCCTTATGAGACATATCATTTGCAAATATCTTCTCCCATCCAGGATGTTGTCTTTTTGTTTTGTTGATAATTTTCTTCGCCGTGCAAAAGCTTTTAAGTTTGATTACTTCTCATTTGTTTAGTTCTGCTTTTGTTTCCCTTGCCTAAGGAGACAGATCCAAAAGAATATTGCTAAGACTTATGTCAAAGTGTGTACTGCTTATATTTTCTCCTAGAATATTTATGGTTTCCAGTCTTACATTTAGGTCTTTAATCCATTTTAAGTTTATTTTTGTATAAGGTGTGAGAAAATGTTCTAATTTCATTCCTTTACATGTAGCTGTCCAGTTGTCCCAATGTCACTTACTGGAGAGACTGTCTTTTCCCCACTGTATATTTTTGCCTCCTTTGTCATAGATTAATTAACTGTATGTGCATGGGTTTATTTCAGGACTCTCCGTTCTGTTCCATTGATCTATATGTCTGTTTCTGTGCCAGTACCATACTGTTTTGATTACTGTAGCTTTGTAGTATAGTCTGAAGTTAGGGACCATGGTACCTCTGGCTTTGTTCTTTTTTCTCAATATTGTTTTGGCTATTTGGGGTCTTTTGCGGTTCCATACAAATTTTAGGATTATTTGTTCCAGGTCTGTGAAAAATATCATGGATATTTTCATAGAGATTGCATTAAATCTGTAGATTGCTTCGGGTCATTTGGACATTTTAACAATATTAATTCTTCCAATCTATGAGCACAGGATATCTTTCCGTTTACTTGTATTGTCTTCAATTTCATTCATTAATGTCTTAGAGTTTTCAGAGTATAAGTCTTTCATCTCCTTGTTTAAGTTTATTCCTAATTATTTTATTTTATTTTATTTTGTTTTTTGCGGTACGCGGGCCTCTCATCACTGCAGCCTCTCCTGTTGCGGAGCACAGGCTCCGGACGCACAGGCTCAGCGGACATGGCTCACGGGCCCAGCCGCTCCGCGGCACACGGGATCCTCCCAGATCGGGGCACGAACCCGTGTCCCCTGCATCAGCAGGCGGACTCTCAACCACTGCGCCACCAGGGAAGCCCTATTTTATTCTTTTTGATGCAATTGTAAACGGGATTGTTTTCTTGCTTTCTCTATCTGAGAGTTCATTCCCACTCACGTCTAATTAACAAAATATTTTACTTGATTGCTTTTTTCTGATAATAAAGTAATATCAACTATCGCAGAATAACACCACAAAGAAAGCAAAAGGCCCTCCAACACCTTTCCTCCCAACATAACCAGTGTCATCAGCTTGGTGAATGCTCTAAAAGGTTACTTTTCATGAACCTGCTTTTTTAAACAAAAAATTAGATTCTACTCTTATGTAACTTCTTTATTTTCTTTTTTTTCCCCAGCCAGTTTCTTTATTTTTCTTTTTTCTTTTTTTGATTTTAACATGTTCTTGCAACTTTACTGAAATCATGAATATCCCAGAGTCATTTATCATTTTAAAAAATCAAGTTAATGCTATCAAAAGGTGATATTCACATTAATCCTGTTTGCCTTCACACCACTGTCATGAGCCTTCATTCCAAGTGCCATAAACAAAGAGGGCCAGCACCATGTGGGCGGCGACCACTGCAACAATAACAGCATAAAAATAGCTGTCCCTATTGGACATCCCAAAGGCACCTTCAAAAACATAATATTTATCGTGAAATATAACCCAGCAGGTACAGTGATCTTTAAAGCTGTGAAGAACAGGAGCATCTCCAGAGTGAATGCTAATGAACTCTCATTTCTGAAGCCGGGTGGCTGCAGTGTGTTCAGTGACGCTTTATCAAGGCGCTCCGTGCCCGCAGCAGGTGCTCAGAAGCGGGCTGGCCTCAGTGGCTGTGCTCAGTCGGCTTGGGCGACAGGTCAGTCCAGGCGGGCTGCACTGGAAGTGCCTGTGAGCTCAGACTGACCAGCCTACTATCCACTTCCTAATTGCAAAATCCACCAACACTTTTCAGCCCTTATCTGATGTGCTCTCTCAGCCTCCTGTGACCCTGGATGTCACTTCCTCCTGTCACTCTCCTGTTTGGGAGCTGACTCCTCTCCCCTGCTTCCCAGACTGGCTCCAGTACCCCAGCCATGACTATTGGGTTTTCTGAGTCACTTCTTCAAGCCCTACCCTGTGCTCATTCTCCAGGTGTTGCCTGGAAACACCCACTCACCTCTGGACTTCTCTCATTACCCTCCTAGCTCCCATCATCCGTCCTCCACACGGCTGCTTTTTCAACACAAGTCTGATCATTTTACTGCCCTGCGTGAGATTCCTTCAATGAGACCTTCCCCAATGCCTTCAAAAATAGTCCATTTCTCCACCTGGCTCCTGTGAGAAACGAACCTGACCAGGATTTGGAATCAGAAAAATCTGGATTGGCGTTTCTCACTCAACAACATATCAGCAGTGTAAATTTAGGGAAGCTGTGTAACTTCTAAGTCTCTCTCTCTCTCATCGGTAACACAGGAAAACAAGACTAAGGAATATGGCTGAGAGTCAAGAGTTTAATGTTAGTAAACACCCAGAATGCAAGGGCAGAGAGGAGCGCTTTAAAAATCGGTATGCTCTGATTCAGCCTATGCTTTCCTACCCTCAGTCAGATTTTCAGATCTCCCTGTGATTCCCAGAAGCCCACTCTTGCTGCCCAGTTGCCTGGAGTGCCCTTTTCCCCCTCTGGTTTGTCTGCCCAAGACCTGCCTATCTTCCAACATTACTGAATTTCAGCCACTTCCTCTCAAGCCTTTCTGAACCTCCGAATGTAGAATTCACATCCTCCTCTGGGAAGTCCCTGACCCTCCACATTCTGCTGTGATAGCATCTTTAATATTTTATTGCACTAATCTGCTCACTCAATCGTTTTTTTTTTCTTTTTTCTTAAACCAAACTGATACCCTTTAACATGAGATTTTATTCATCTTTTCAACCCTCGCACCAAGCACAAAATAGTTCATCAGTAGTGGGGGGGTTGCCAACACCAATTCGATATAAAACTCATTTCCCCCTCTGCTCAGTTCCTGCCATGATGTAGGACTAAGTGTAGGGATTAAGTTTCAGACTGAAGTGTGGTGGGAGAGGATTTGGGGCAATGTTACTTATGGCCTTATCTTCTCTCAGCTTTGGCAACCTTGTCTCCCCAGACCTCTGTTGCTGGGCTGCAGGAAGTGCTCACAAAGGGCTCACAGAAGCCACGGTTTGGGGGAGGGTGTGCTTGGGGTGAAGGGGAGAGGGTGGACACAGTTGAGTGGCCCCAGAGCTCAGCGCCCCCGTGATTGGGGTGGTGGGGGCGGGGCACCTGGCCTCAGTTTCCCCGGGGGGCAAGCCTCTAGCTGCAGGGTTGGGGATCGGGCATGGAGGGGGTATGTGCAGCAGCACAGCAGCAGCACAAGCAGGAACCGGCCAGGGCCCGGCATCTAGCCCCGAGGCAGGGCGAACCCCACTGCCCGACCCGGCTCCCTGTGGCGAATCCCAGGGAGGCTCCCACTGGGCCATAGCTGCTTGAGAGACTGGACTTTTCCTTTTCCTTGAATCCCTTTGGATTAAATCTAGTCAGAGCCAGGCTTCTGCCCTACCCTGATGGACAGAGGTGCTTTGGTTCATCCTGACTGGATTAATGAATTTAAATTGTTCTTCCGGGGCTTCCCTGGTGGCGCAGTGGTTAAGCATCCGCCTGCTAAGGCAGGGGACACGGGTTCCAGCCCTGGTCCGGGAAGATCCCACATGCTGCGGAGCAACTAAGCCCGTGCACCACAGCTACTGAGCCCGTGTGACACAACAACTGAAGCCTGCGTCCCTGGAGCCTGTGCTCCACAAGCCACCGCAATTAGAAGACCCCCGCAACTAGAGAAAGCCCGCGCACAGCCACGGAAGACACAACGCAGCCAATAAATAAATAAATAAAATCTATTTTTGGAAAAAAATTTTAAAAAAGAAATTGTTCTTCCTCGGTCACCATGGGATTATGACTGTTTTTATGCTCAGACTTCTCTTCATCAGTTAAATATTATGCTTTTAAAAATCTACTTTCGGGACTTCCCTGGTACTGCAGTGGTTAAGAATCTGCCTGCCAGTGCAGGGGCCACAGGTTCGATCCCTGGTCTGGGAAGATCCCACCTGCCTCGGAGCAACTAAGCCCGTGCGCCACAGCTACTGAGCCTGTGCTCTAGAGCCCGGGAGCAACAACTACTGAGCCCACACACCACAGCTACTGAAGCCCGGGCACTCTAGGGCCCGTGCTCCACAACAAGAGAAGCCACCACAATGAGAAGCCCGGCACCGCAACGAAGAGTAGCCCGCGCTCGCCACAGCTAGAGAAAGTCCACAGGCAGCAACGAAGACCCAATGCAGCCAAAAGTAAACAAAAAATATTTTAAAAATTTAAAAATCTACTTTCATGTCTGATTTCCTAACCTCTGACTAGCCCCAGCTTCCATTCTCAGTTACTGGAGCATTTGAAGATGCATCGGTGTTTTTCTGGTTTTGTTTCAAATTGTGGTAAAATACACACAACATAAAATACACCATTTTAACCATTTATAAGTGTACCATTCGGTGGCATTAAGTACATTCACATTGTTGTGCAACCGTCGCAAAGAAACTTTTGTATGTATTCAATATAAAATTTAAAGTATAAAAGTAATATGTGCTTCCTGTTATAGGTAAATGCTCCAAAAATTTATAAACGAAAAGTTAACAAATGTATTCTGTTTCCACCACCAAGAGGTATAACCACATTAACAGTCTGCCGTGTAACCCGTCCAGATGTTTCATTAATGACCATACAAGCAGATGTCCACATATTTGAGGGTTTTACTTTTTGCTTTTACAGGGATGGGATAATGCTGTTCATAATAGTCTGCAACTCACAGACATCCCTCTGTACATATAGATTAAACGCCTTCTTTTTTTTTTTTTTTTTGAGGTACGCGGGCCACTCACTGTTGTGGCCTCTCCTGTTCCAGAGCACAGGCTCCGCATGCGCAGGCACAGCGGCCGTGGCTCACGGGCCCAGCCGCTCTGCGGCATCTTCCCGGACCGGGGCATGAACCCGTGTCCCCTGCATCGGCAGGCGGACTCCCAACCACCGCGCCACCAGGGAAGCCCTAAACTCCTTCTTTTTAATAACTGCATAATAGTCCATGATATGGATGCGTCACAGTTTATCTAGTCTTTCACTGGATGGACATTTGAGTTGTTTCCAGTTCAGCACAACAAATACAGCTACAATAAACATCCTTACATGTTCTTAAGCTGCTACCTCCATAGGAGATATTCCCCGCCTTGGACTGCTGGCTCAGGGGGTGGCAGGTATTTTCCTTTACATTGTCAGATTATGTTCACAAACAATGGAAGCAGTTTCCAGTCCCCACAGTTTCCACTCTCAAGAATGCCCCTGTCCCTGTGCCTTCATCAGCTGTAGATGTTATGGCTTTGTCAGTTGAGTGACCTTTCATGGGTTTGCAGACCATTTGGAATTGTAATTAAAGATTTTAATGAGGCTGAACTGCCAAGTTTATCTCTGCCTCAAAGAGACTTCAGCTTCCCTATTAATTCAGCCAGGATCAGTGCTGCTTGGTTTCTCAATAGTCAGGTTCTGAGGCTGGCTAGGGCCGTGGTACTCATGCGGAACACCATGGAATGTAGTCAAGGGCTGTGAGAGGTTTGGAAGAAGGCTGGACCTAGGAGAAGTGTGGGTGGGCAGTGGTGACCAGTAGTACCCAAAGATCTTGGGCCTATGTCCTTGGGGAGTGGTCTCTTCACCCCACCCGTCTGCCTTGTTCTGGAATGAGCTTGCTCATCTTTCAGGAAGACTGAAAGGAATTCAGTCAGAAAGACATTATTTACCTGTGTGCAGATATGAATTCCAGTAAAGAGAGTTCTAGAACCTGTCATACCCTATGTGTCAGCTGCATCCAGGTCACCTTCCCTGAAGTACCCCTGTCCTCCCTCCAAGGATGGGGATGACACCTAATTTTAACACAGAAGGAGATTATTACAATCTTCTCTAGTGCCTGCGTGCCTCCCAGACAGTAAACTCTTTGAGAGCAGGAGCTGTCTTACTCATTTTCTTATCCCCAGAGACAAGGACAGCTCTTGGCACTCAATAGGCACTCAGTTGTGAAGCGAATGGGCTGGTGTGGGAAAAGGGAAAAGGTGGAAAGGCAGAGACCCCAGGAGAAGAAAGGTCCATGAAGGGCAAAAGCAATTTCTTCTTCCTTCCTCCCCAACTCTAGCCATTGTGGAGAGAGGGAGAGGAAGGGGTGCTGGGTAAATCAGAGGGGATGATTTCAATTGTTTGAGGAAGGCATGGGGGAGGGGAGGGAGGGATGCTTCTCCACTGTTTTAGTGCAGATCCAGCTGATGCATTATCCCGTCTCACCACCCATTCAAATTCTTCCCCCTGCTTTGGGGTCCTGAGATGAGATAATGGAAACAGGGCAGGCTTGGAGGCTGGAGTCCTGGGTATCCATCCAGCTTTGCTCCCAGGTGATGTTGTAGACTGATTAGATAAGCTCTGGACTCTCAGGTATAGATGTCTGAAATGGAAGGTTCCTCTTCACAGGAACATTGTGAAGATTAAAGGAGATTCTATCTAAAGTTCCTGGCAAAGAGTACATAGGCTACAAAGAAGCAAGCTACTTCCCCCCTCCATCCCAACCTCTGCCCCCTAAACCCTTAATGCTTCCTGTGGCCACACTGATCTCTCTTTCCTGAAGTCATACGAGTCACAAAATGTTGGCTTGCAGATATGTAGGATCTTATCTCATTATCCTGTGGTTGTGGTGTGTTTGTTTTACTCTCTTCTCTTAGACAAAGTGTGGAGGTGCCAGACCGCAGGGGTTTTGAGCTCTTTCTGTCCCTCTTCTCTCTGGCCTAGTTTGGGTGCTTGTCAGGTGTCTCACGTCATCAGTCATGAATCTGTCCTGAAAAGGCTGTTTGTGCAGCCTCCTTACTCTCTCTGGGGCTTCAGCCCCACGCAGATGGTATTTGGTAGATTGAAACAGGGTGTGGGAGGGGTCCGAAGAGCAGGAGCTCTTAATGAGCTCAGGAGAGAATTGTTTGATTAGATTATTCATATCTTTATAGGGATAACAGGGCAGAATATTTGACTTTCAGACTGTTAAAACTTGAAGTGGTCCCTACCTTCAAAGAGTCTACAGTTGAAGGAAGGTAGACAAATGTTTTAAAAGATACACAATAATACCAAGTCACCTTCTGAAGAAGCTCAAGAAGACACAAAAATGGAGAATTCCATTGTATTTGTATTGAATTAACCAGCCCCCTACTGATGGATTTTTTGTTGTTTCCAGTTTTTACAGTGCTGTGGTAGATGTCTTCATACATCTTGCCTTCAATTATCTTATTTTTATTATTAATATTAACAATTTTGGGGAATTCCCTGGCAGTCCAGTGGTTAGGACTCCTCGTGTCCACTGCCAGGGGCCGGGTTTGATGCCTGGTGAGGGAAGTAAGATCCCGCATACCATGCAAAGGAAACAAAACAAAAACATTAACATTTTTTTTGTTAGAAACATTTTTAAATTGAGGTATGATGTACATATAGTGAAATGAACAGAACTTTAGTGAATCAATCAATGAAATTTAACAAAGACATGCAGCCATGTCACCCACACCCCTATCAAAATATAGAATGTTCCCTTCACCCTAGAACGTTCCCTTTACTCCCTTTCGTTTAGTCCCCCTTCCCCAACCAAAAGCATCCACTGATCTGGTGACTATCACCACAGATTAGTTTTGCCCGTTTTAAAACTTGATACAAATGCACTCACAGAGTATGGTCTTCTCTGTGTCTGGCTTTTTGCCTTTGGCATAATATCTATGTGATCCATCCATGTTGTTGTATGTATCAGTAGTTCTTCATTTTAATTGCTGAGCAGTATTCCATTGAAGATTGGGCCACAGTTTTTGGCTATTTGAGGGTATTCTCAGTTTTTGGCTACTACAAGTAAAGCAACTACTAACATTCTTGTACATGGTTTCTATAGACATATATCTTGATTTCTCTTTTTTTAAAAAAAAAATTATTTATTTAATTTATTTTTTTGGCTGCATTGGGTCTTCGTTGCTGTGCGCAGGCTTTCTCTAGTTGCGGCGAGCGGGGGCTACTCTTTGTTGTGGTACACAGGCTTCTCATTGCAGTGGCTTCTCTTGTTGCGGAGCACAGGCTCTAGGTGCACAGGCTTCAGTAGCTGTGGCACGTGGGTTCAGTAGTTGTGGCTTGTGGGCTCTAGAGCACAGGCTCAGTAGTTGTGGCGCACGGGCTTAGTTGCTCCGTGGCATACGGGATCTTCCTGGACCAGGGCTTGAACCCGTGTCCCCTGCATTGGCAGGCGGATTCTTAACCACTGCGCCACCAGGGAAGCCCTATCTTGATTTCTCTTGAGTAAATACCAAGGAATGTACATGCTGGTCATAGATTTCTTGATGTTTTACTTTATTTGAAGATCCAAAACTAATTTCCAAAATAATCATTTTATATTCCTATAGGCAATGGATAAGAGTTCGGGTTGTTCCACATCCTTGCCAACATTTATGGTTATTAATCTTTTTACTGTTAGCTTTTCTGATGGGTGTCGTGGTTTCTAACTGTGGTTTCAAAGCTTTGACTTTGTATTTTCCCGATTGATGCTGAGAACTTTTTCATATATGTGTTGTCCATTCATGTATCTTCCCTTTGTAAAGTGCCTATTTAAGTCTTTTACTCAGTTTTGTTGTTGTTTGTCTTTTTATTATCAAGTCATAGCAGTTGTTTATATACTCTGGATACAAATCCTTTGTCGGATACATGTATTGCAAACATTCTAACAAAGGAGTTTCTTTTTAAAAGAAAAAAAAATTCTTCTGGAAAGCAAAATCTACTGATTTTTCACACATTATTGAGAACAATGGCCCAGATTGTGAGGTTCTAGCCCACAGGAACTTCACATTATTGTCTTTGTATTCAGAAAGTAGGCCAAAGTACTTAATTTCTCTGAGGGACCCAGGAGCTTTTGGAGTATTCATTCTTCAGGTTGTGAAAGCTATTTCAGAAGATCCCTCTGAAGATTTTGGAAAGAGCTACATAAATGCTAATTCGCTTTCCCTAAACTTTGGATCCAAAGAATGCTCAGAATCCAGCCCTGCCTCCCAGTCCGCCCCCGA